GATGTTCTGCTCTTTTATACCCAAGTCCAAACCAAAGCGCCATCACCATCGCCAAGGTCACCATGGAACATTTCGACAGCTCCGCTACCATGTCAAGCCAACGGAGTGCAAGTGCGGTACGTTTTGACATCGTGGGTTGGGCCACCGAAATAAAGGTTGCAGACATCCATGTCTGACTGTACATACGTGACATGAAACTGTCGAAATCTTGTAACAGATTCGTCTGTGGGAATTCGTCTGCGGATGGGAATTCGTCTGCGGAATTCGTCTTCGCGTCTTCAGGTGGAATGGTCCTCTAAGAAGAATTTGTTTTCGGTATTTGGTTTTGTCTGCAGGTGGGAACGCGCTACACCCCCAGCAGCGGCCACAATGTCAAGAACGATGGCAGGCGTGGGATGTCAGGAGGCAGCGATGTCCAGAGAAAACGGTGCTATAAGCAAACGATGACAGAAAGAAGTGGTGTAGGAAGAAAGAGATGCCAAGATACAGAGATGTCAAGAGAAAGGTGTGTCACGAGAAAGACCTCTCAGAAAAAAACATGTCACAAGAAAGGGGTGACATGAGAAGGAAGTGCCAAGACAAAGGGATGCCAAGAGCAAAAAATGTCGAGAAAAAATGAAAACAAAAACACTGACAACATCTGACAACAGAAAGAATCAAAAACACAAAAAACAAAGGAAAAAATGTCACGCTACAGAGATGTCGAGAGATTGTTTTCCAACGACAGTCGGTCTTTTACACAAACCACTGAACTTATACGCAGTTTCCTATAGCCTATAGATGTTGATCTTTGAACCTTCCACCCCAGGTTTGTGGGCACAGTACTTTTTGTGGCCGTATAAACGAAATACGCGAGTTTCATCCCGGGACGTGGCCAAAAGAGGCCGTACCCCGACCGTATACAATTGGAAATTTGTTGTACAGTATGATCTGAAGTGATTTGAAGGTTTGGCAAAAACGAACTGGTTTTTATTCTGTTCCAACAGATTCGGTCCGGGTTTGATGTTGATCCCAGGGCTTGGCTGAGATTAACCGTATAGCAGTTGCCTAAAAGAAAAATGTTGGTTTCATGTTGGTCGGAAGGTTTGGCTAACATGCGCCGTATAATCGATAAAGCTAGAGTCAGCGTATACAGGAGGCTGTCAGGTTTGTCCTATATTGATCCTAAGGTTTATATGTGGTAGGAAAAGTGCATGCGACTTACATTAAAAATGCGTTTGTCTCATGTTGGTCCACCAGCATTTGGCTAGGATATGTTAGGATGAACCGGGCACCAGCGAAACACGAGATACTGCAATGGTTGACTCTTTGGGCCGGAGGAATGAAGTTCAAACCTCTCCCAAGGAACGAAGTTGTGGGCTCAAAAGCGTGGGACTGTTCGCTGATCAAACCCACGGTTTTGGAAAGTTTCGACAGACCACGAATTAAACATATTTAAACATTCTATGCATTTCATTGCATTTCTATGCGCTCTTCGAAGTCTGTTTTGGGCAACCCCAGTTCATTGACCAGGAAAGCTGAGGATTAGGGCGAGATGACATGTGAATCTGCGGACGACGAATTCTATTATCAGAAACATCTGCTTTACCAAGGCTAACACGTTTAAGACCTGACCTGAGCAACATTAGGCCACAATTCAAACCTGAGAGTGCGGAAAGAAAACCACAACCAGCGCAGGGCTGGCAAACAAATTTGCGACGCACACTGGAGTGTAGGAGTGTGCGATGTGTGCGGTGGTAGTGGTAAGTAAACGAACCGCTTTCAGCCTTCAAACGACATTATATAGCCTGACCTATTTCTTCGCGCCAAATTTGCTTTTCAACATGCCAGTAATTGCGGGGTTGGGGCTACGCAAACAGTTAACACAGGCTGCTTCCATACCATCTATTTCTCTTTGCACTCAAGACTTGAAAACACGAGCTGCCGCGCACACACCCGCCACAAGCATTGTAAGCCACGACCGTGACACTAGACAGGGAGATTCGTCAGGAGCAAGACTCCAGGAAACGACGCAGGAGTCGCCCAAAAGAATCTCCAAAAATCTCCAAAACAACGACTTTCTTGATTCATTCGTGTTTCCGGCCACGTCTGTCCTAGAAGGCATGCAGGACACCTCGCCTCCAATGATGTTTTTGATGCATGATCTGCCTAGAATCTGCTTTCCTCGTGTCACTCGTGTCGGCCTTTTTTTTTCCGTTTGCTGGTCGCCCTCCAAGAACCTGCCCCTTTTCCTCCTTTCTGACTGCGAAAAAAACAAGACATGTTCGGAGTTTAAAAATTGATCGTTGGCAGATCCTTGCTTTGTTTTGCTTTCCACATCCTGGGTTGTTGGGCATTTGGACAAAGAGAGAACGCCTCCAAGCATCTCTTTCTTCCTTTCTGACTTCATGTTTGATCTGCTTTCCGCCTCTTCTGTCGCCGAACTTTTTACCCTTGATACCTACTACTGTCACTGAATTGCTACCCAGCGCATGCCTGGGCTTCACGGCTCCAAAACACCGCCAAGACAATGTATCTATGTATATAAATGTATAGCAAAATTATAGTACAGTAATACATATATATATATATATACATATGCTTACACGACCTTTGGTCCACTGCGTTCGCAAGTAAACAACTTTGCTCAACCGGCGTCGGCTGGTTTTCGTACAAAAGACGAATTTCGAAGTCTCAGAAAAATTGTGCGATATTCTTGGACATGCGTCAACACCACAGGTGGCACGAGTTTTTTGTTTTTACCAGAGGGAGGCCCAGGTTCAGAGGTTTGATCAAGAAAATCTCGCGGCGGGCTGCCGGATGAAGCAAATGTTGCAGAATTGCTGGAGAAGGAAAAATAAGGAAAATTTGAAAAACATACCGACTGAGTCAGTTTCTGTACCAATGTACACCGCTACACTGCCGCTACACAGTACCGGAAGGGCTCGTTCAGCATTTTCCTGGAATGCAGATTAAGACATACCGTTTAGTGCAATGTTGGATTATGACATCGCTTGACATGGGGAGTGGCAAGTGGCAAGGGTTGTACGAGTACCTGTGACTTGATGTCGGCGCCCTTGGAAGAATTTAGGTCACTAATTAATTGAACGATGTTCAAAGATTTCAAAGAGAAGGGGACAATATCTTGCAATCTTTTTGCAGCCCAACATAAAAACTAGTTATATCTGGTTTCACAACTCTGACACCTCTTGTTTCATTGATTCTTGAACAAGCTGCTGCACACCACATAGAGCCATCCATATTGGAAATGTACTTCTGTAAAACCGTGAGGGCTGCTGCGCCCCTCCAATGTTCAAGTGGGAAGTAATATGTATATATGTATATATATATATGATATATATGATATATATATATATATGTATAAATATATGATATATATATATATGTATAAATATATGATATATATATATGATATATGATATAATATGTGTATATATATATGATATATGATATATGATATATTATATGTGATATATGATATATGCTATATGATATATGATATATATATGTATATGTATATACGTGTATATATAATTATATATATATATATATGTATATATATATATAGTATTATATATATATATTATATATATATATTATTATATATTATTATACGTATATTTGATTATATTTGTATCACATGGTTTGAGTGATCAAGTTGGTTTCGACGTTGACTATGTACTGTAATTGCGGATACCAGTGCCAACTTGTTGCACATCTTGCGGCTGCACTGGGAGACTGGCCAAATACTTTGCTAATCATTCTCCGAGCGGATGGCACTCACTCAATTTTTGGAGCTAAAATGGACTATCCTGTAGGTTTTTGATGGTTTTTGATTGTATAGTTGTGTAATGTTGTGTAAAGCATTTAGGTTCGCACTTCAATGCTTCCACTGGCTTCCACTTTAGAAGCACAGCTGCAGCTTGACACCTCTGGACATACAAATCTACTGTAAATACCTCTGCATTTGACATGAGGGATGAGCGAGATCATGCACATACTCCTGGATCAATCCGTGAACGGTATGATCTGCAACCAGCGATCAAGCATCCATGTCCATATTTGTGAGTCGCACCGTGGATGGCAATTACACATGCATACACATGCACTGTTGCTGGAATTTGTTTCCAATCATGACGTGACATACGAAGTACATACGAGATCATACGAGTCAATTTTGATCAATCCCGCAATGTTTGGCAGCGATGCCATAGCGTTGCAGTTTGTGAAATCCCTTTGCAACTTAGAATGCCTTTGCGCTGCATCAAACACAGTTCATTTTTCCATTGGGAAACCTTGTGAGGGGTCGATACCTGTTTGCCCAAACGCGCCATGTTGGGGCCAGTGTTTCCCAGACTCAAAGTAGGTGTGCATGCTGGTGTATAAAACTTTATAAAACATTATAAATATTATAAAACTATAGAATGAGAGTTAATCGCGATGTTTTAGACATCGCAAGTGATCATCAAATTTACAGCGAGCGCCACATTGAAGTCTTGGAACTGGCAAATGTTTGTGATGATGATTCTGGTGATTTGGTGGTACCTCCAGCAAAGGTTGATCAAAGCAACGGCTCGCGTAGTTCCCGGTCTTAGCAGGATTTGAATTCGGCGGAAGCGCTCTTCCAGACTTGTGTTGTTTTGTGAAGCTGCAGCTAAGCTGCTACAAGTCTCGTTTCATTTAGCTTTCCTCGCTCTTGCACTTCTGTTGGTTGTACTATGTTGTACTATGTTGTATTTGTCGTCCCGTCAAGCTCTTCCATCTTCCCCATGCCATGTTCAGCATCCGCCAGCATCTTCCATGCACCGCATGTTCACCGCATCTCCAAGCGGAGGCGGAACTTGTCGTTTCCAGGGGATGACTTCGCTGTTGCAATGTTGGGCAATGTTGCAAAGTCTTGCGAAGGTTTGCCAATAACTTGAAAATGCTGCGAAATGCCGAGGCTAGTCTCGTGCTGGCAGCGCCCTGTCAGCCCTGTTCCGCACTCCGGAGAAACGTATGGGACGCAGATTTTTTCCCAGCTTTGTGCAGCGTTTTACTGCTCTGCCGCTCTACCGCTCCCGCTGCCCAAAGTGTCTCATAGCTCAAGCGATTCCTCAGGAAGAAGGCTCTGACTTCACTTCGGCAACGTCCAGTTAAGAAAAGTAAGACAGCGAATGATGCATGCAAGTGACAGGAATGAGACAAAGTGCACTCTTTGGCACTGGGGCGCTTACTGATGATGATGTGACTGCCGCTCTGAGAGTCCACAATACTACTCATTTGCCCAACTTCAAGCGCAAAAGATGCTTCCTCAATTTGTGTCAATGTATGGAGCCTTCGCGTCAATGAAAAATCGCCGCTCGATTCAACACGATTCAAACATATTAAAGTAGTGAATGAAATGATAAAACTGACTGGCGCAGGTTGAGAGCAAGGTGACAACAGGACTCAGATCTCCTCGAACTCTTTTTGCATTTCGCTTGGTCCAAAAAAACCCAAATCGCCACCCTGCAGCTGTGTCACCACAGAAAACGAACGCAAGCACTGAAGTTTAAGTTTCCTATCCGACTCGTTATCCGACTACATGTCTTGCATGTGCCACCCACGCTTTCCAGCTTGCATCTGTTTCTCTGTCTGCAGGCGTGCGGGTGTGGATGCATGTATCTGTCAGGCTGCAAGAGTGATGAATGATTCGTTTCAGGTGCCGTGGGATATTGACTTCAACATTGAAGCGGGGATCACCACAGCCCTCGACTGAATCTGAGAAAGCACTGACACTAATACTATACTACAGCGGTTACTGCAGTTGACCGATGACAACTGATGGATTCAAGTCCTACAACTCACACGCAACTCCCAAGCAGCTGCCTGGGCAAAAGAACCACAATCACTTCGAAGCTGTGCCTCTTTGGCGAATGCATCCACCAGCTCCTGAAGCAGGAGCCACAAGTGTGCCACAAAATCAACCAATCCAGGAATCCACCACTGTAAACTTAAAGGACAAATTTTAAAAAAATAAAGCATTTGGAATCATTTGGAACTTGGATGGTATCGATGGTGGTCAGTGATGGTCACTGTTGCTGAGGCTATCGGCATGCCATCAGAATGCTTTCAGCGTCGAGTCATATCTGGTGTACAAATGCGGTCCTGCCCCGATTTGCCTTCTAACCTCCCAAGGATTGCCTTCAGCTCTTCGTGGGCTGATGCCACAGAAACCTCTCAAGTTGGTCGATAAGGTCTTGGTCATGCCAAAACACCATGAAACTTTAACAATCTTATGAGTGAATATGAGTGTGAGTGTCCCACAGTTCAAATACAGCAAGTTCGGCGAAGTGACAATTCTCAGTAGTTTGCCCAGAGTCAATCTATTTATGACTTGTTGCTGACATTGAACGAGTTCAACTGAGGAATGCGCGCTTGCCGTGGACTCTTTCGTTCGTCTGGAGACGGGATTGCGCGACTTCTCGTGCTTGCACCTGGCAATGGAGCTGGCGACGCCTGGAGAAATTCCCTGCCTTGTTCATCTTCAAGGCTGCCAGTTCTGGCGCTGTGTTGCCGCGCTAATCTTGGCCAGTTCCACAGCAAGTGCAACACTCGCACTTTGCCCGCCTCAGTCACGTAGATAGGAGAGTAAAGAATGATCCACCACAACTTCAGGCCCGGTGAATGGACTTGATGAAAGCTAGCACCACTAGTGTCTCAGACTAGATCGTGATCGTAAACCATGCTGATACCCCCACTGATACTCTGATTAGGAGAACAACAGAGACATCTCCACAAGCTGATGGGAACAGCATAAATCATGATGCTGATAAGGATGATATGATGATGCAAAGAACGCAAATAAACTCACCAAACAAAAAATCACGCCTCAACACGGAGATGTAGTTACGGTAACTTACCATAGTTTCTTTTGCAAGAACTGCGAAGTTTTTATTTGATATACTGGATGTCAGCAAAGTTGGTCCACATCAAAACACAAGGTGGGCCGCGTTTCCACTGGAACGTCTAAATTTCTGTGTCAGACGTTACGTAAACTAGTATATACATGCAACATGCCATAGCCACCTAAGGTTGGCTTCCGTGATCACAACAGAAGCATGAATGAACACAAGTTTACAGCGGCATAGTCATGACAAAAATGTGCTTTTCAAGAAAATGCAAAGTATAGCAAAGTCAATAATGTGATGATATTGATGTAATGCGTCTCTGCCTATCAAAAATTGTTGAAATGTGATGGCTCTCTGACTTCAACATCAAGAGGCCCCTGCCGTCGCCATGAGGCTACAATGGCTTAAATAACTCGAAATATCTCGAAATCACTTGTGGATCAGTTCGAGCCCTAGCTGTGGAAGCCTGCACTCTGGTGAAATCTGGTGAATCTAGCCAGTGGTGTCGTCGGTTTTGAAAGTCAAAGGAGCGAATTATAGAGGCTATCCCTGGCTATCCCTGGCTATTCCTGTATAATCTGTATATAGTGTTGTCTCGTACTGCTTGATAAAACCCGAGCCGATTCTAGGCGAACATCAACAGTCTTTTCTCGCCCCAAGATCCGGTCCTGCCAAGTCTTCTGGGCCACTGCCAAGAAAAGAGAATGGAAAAGCTGAAAGGCTGTCGTTTTTCTGTGCTCTAAAATAGCTTGTAATCTGCTCAGAAATTGTAAGACACTGGCCCTACCCTCAGCGGCAGGTTGCGGATTCCTCCACGTGAAACCGCGGTTTCGCCTACTGTCTATGCCATGTTTTCTGTGCTTTCATGACAATTTCATGATTATAGTCCAAGACGTGTGTCTCATCAGCAATTAATCCTGCGATTACATTGCAAATTTGGGAGCACCTGGTCCTGGAGGGGACCATGCAGCAATATTGCTACACGGTGCTGGAGTGAAAAGAAGTCTATTGAGTTCTATAATCTATCTTTGAATTCCGACCCTTCCGTCCCAACAGATTCACTTCTTGAGATCCGGGTCTCGAGACAAGCCGGCGCCAAACTCCGCGAACAGAACTGGCTTTCCATCCGGGAAGTTGCTGGACAAATCGCTGCTGCCTTCGAACATTTTGGAAAGGTATCCTTCAGTGTAGCCAGATAGAGCTGTCGTAGGTTCTACACCGCGGAAAAAGATGCCACATGGATCCCACAAGGCATGGAAGTCATCAGAATCACCCAAGACCGGCTTCGGAGTCAAAACTTCATGACCAAGGATCTCAAACATGGCAGACTGCAAACCCAGAAGTGCCGGCACAAGTCCCGCAGACGAAGTGCCCCCGACGAGAGACAAGTCTGCACAAACCACCAGATTCACATTTTCTGAGAGGAGGAAGTGGCCAAAAGCTTCTGAGCTACCATCGAAGCTGTGCTCAAGCCTAGGCCGCCAGCAAGCAATACGGATAGCTTGATCCGCTGATATCAGATCGACTGCCAATCCCGCATCACACTCATGACTTGCACAAAATGCCCAGTAGCTTCGGTCCCACATGATAGTGTTGGCTCCGGAAGGTCCCTTCCCACAGCATTTGCCATAGCCTTTTCCAATTATACCAGAAGCCAGGTCCGGGGTGCTTGAATCTAGGCCCTGCAGGCATGCTATACCGGCACGCTTGAACTTCAACATCCTATCTAAATGCATGGGCACACATCCACTTGCGTGCGACAAGAACGTGATGCTGAACTGACCCAAAGTTGGGTTCTTGTTCTTTTTGGCAATGAGCCGACGCAATTCAGGTGGTTCCTTGAAGCTCCAAGACATGCCTGTAGGGTCCCAGTCAAGATTTAGCTGCCTTGGAAGCCTCGCCAAAAGCTCTGGGGAAAGCTTGTGCAGCAGTGCAGCAAGCCTTGCGTCCAGGAGGGCCAGATCCTTGTAGGTGAACGATACCGTCTTCAAATCCCTCTGACACCAGGGGCCTGAATCTTCGGCTTCACCCAATTGAGTCTCAATGATCTTCATCAAGTCTGATGTCTCCAAAACAGGAGCTTGCATAAGAAATCGCAGCAAACATGAGGCGAGCTTGAGCATGCGATTTTCACTCTGGCTTTCTTCACCGTCGTCAACCAAGTCTTTTGGAGAGGCCTCAGATGTAGGGAAGGAGGACAAATGAGTTGACAAAGTGGACTGCTCCCAACCACTTTCCATTCCAAATTGCGTTGTCATGTCGTCCCATGCTGGTCCCATTCCATTCAATCCGCACATCTCCAGTCCAGGAGGGACAGGAGATGGAATGCAAGGATTAGTTGGGACCGACGGTAGAATTGCAGGCAGCAAGGATGCAAAGGACCCAGGGATGAACTCATTTGCATCAGCGTTGAGGTTCAAGGCAGGAATTTTCCAGATCTTCTCGTGACTGAAGGTGTCCCTTGCATCCATCTGTCTGCTCTTTGGGAACCTTGGCTTTTCGGGAGTCTCCACGCAGCTTCTGTCTACTCCATTCTGCCTTCCACGTGTTGCATCTCGTGGAGTGTGCATCTCATCCTGCACGAGAGAGAGCGAGAGAGAGAGAGAGAAATTAAATAAAGATAACAATAAAATAAAAATTAAAAGCTACTGTACACGACCGCAGATTCCCCCCAAAAATCGGTTCAACATGGTTCAACCGTTTTCCTCACCAGGCTACACATCAATGATTTTCATGCGTTGTCATTGACTGCAAACGCGAATACATGATGCAATCTGACATAATCTGACCACAAGCAACGTGGATCACATAGGAATAGTTCTCGAAAAATGCCGCACAGTGCCTTGACATGATCCGCATGCTCCACATCCGTGGTTTCTACCGCCTCAGAATGGTGATGAGAGTTTCGTCAATGCGAGTTGCAGCAAGGTGCCACTCTAGCAGACTCTAGTTTACGGGTCGATATTGGATTCTGACTTCCGCGTTGAGCGGTTTGTTGTTGTTGTTGTTGGATAGTAAAGATATGTGATATGTGCTGTAGGTGCGAGTAAGGTGGGTATGTTAACATTTTGTGAATTGTCCTAAACCAGCAGTGGGCGCAGCTTGCAAAGGTGGCTAAGGCTAAGGGGGAGGTGTGAAGACGCGTCACACTTGCACAAGGAAAAACAATAATGAATGTAGACAACACGAACCTGGGCAAAATGTTGACATATCTGTGCCACATTCGAGAACAAACAGAACAGACTGAGTCTTGTGGCAAATGCACACAATTGATGTGGCTTTCAGTTTCTACTAACATTTCAAAAGAGGTTCAACGGGAATTTGGCTGAGCGTGGCAAGTTTACAGAGACTCGGAGGAAATGTGCGTAGCAGGGTCTTTCCAACAAAGACTTGGTAGGTATCACCGTGCACACCCACGTACAACATACCAAAATGTGAGTTTTGATTTCATACGTCCACATGCACTTGCATATCCTAAAGTATGTAAGAATGTATGTAAATGGACATCTGTATGCGTGTGTGTGTGTGTATAATGTTAATTAAAAAATATTATATACCATATATCATAAATCAAATATAATGTATAATATATATTTAAAAAATAATATATATATATAGTATATAAAATATAAAATCAAAATTGTAAAATATAAAAATAATAATATATATATATATTAATATATATTAAAAAAAAATGTATAAAATATGCAAAATAATGTATGAATAAATATTATTATATCATATTATATTATATTATATTATATTATATTATTTTGTATTGTATTATATTATGTTATATTATATTATATTATATTGTATTGATTGTATTATATTGTATTTTATTACATTATATTATATTATATTATGGATTATTACATTAACTATTTTTTAATATTAAATTTTATTAAACTATATTATATACTATATATTAAATTCAAAAATATTTTGTATTATTAAATATTTCTAATATTATATGATATTATATATCTTAAAATAATTTATTTTAAATCACAGTATTTTATTATATTAAATAATATAATATTATATTAAATTATCTTATATATTATCTTATTTTGTTTTAAAGAAGATTATGTTTTAGGGTGCTATATTAAATTATTTTACATTACACAGAGAGAGAGATATATATATATTATTATATTAAAAATAAATATATATATATATAATAAAATATAAGTATAATTATATATATATGTGTATATATATATATACAATATATACAATATAATATATACAATATAACCGAAGGAAGTTTAGAAGTCAAACTTCCGACAACATGAGATGAAAAGCAGAGATGGGAAGAGTCAGAGAGAAGAGAAGAGTAGAAGAGAGAAGATCAGAGAAGAGAAAGAGTCAGAAGAAAGAAGATGCAGATGCGCGAAAAGGTAGGAAAGTCGCGAAGCACTGTGTTTCACCAATGATTTGGGGCGCCGGAGGGTCGAAAAGTAGGCTCGCTAAAGCGGTGGGTGCGGAGCCAGCTGGCCAAATGAGAGATGAAAAATTGCATGCCGTTGTGGCGCGAAGCACATTTCCAAGTCAAAATGTACAAAACACACCAGCTTCGGACCACTTTTACTCGTTGAGATGTCGAAAAAGTGCACGCCGTTGTGGCGCGAAGCACATGTCGAAGTCACAATGCACAAAAAACACCATGTTCTGACCACTTTTGGAAGTTGCGATGTCGAAAGCCTGCACGCCGTTGCGGCGCGAAGCACATTTCGAAGTCAAAATGTACAAAGCACACCATGCTCGGACCACTTTTGGAAGTTGCGATGTTGAAAAAGTGCATGCCGTTCTGGCGCGAAGCACATTTCAAAGTCAAAATGTACAAAACACACCATGCTCGGACCACTCTTGGAAGTTGAGATGTTGAAAAAGTGCGCGCCGTTGTGGCGCAAAGCAAATTTCGAAGTCAAAATGTACAAAGCACACCATGCTCGGACCACTCTTGGAGGTTGAGATGTCGAAAAAGTGCACGCCGTTGTGGCGCAAAGCACATTTCCAAGTCAAAAGTGCCAAAAACTGACGGGTACGGAGCACGTTTGGACGTTCAGATGTGCTTTCGCGTGGCAGGCGCAAGGGATTGTGCACCTTGTCAAGAGTGAGCAAAACGTGAGGGTTTTGTAGCATTGCCAAAAACGATGGCAGGCGCGGGACATTTGAAGAGGACCTGCAAAGATGCATTTTCCGTGGCAGGTGCATTGCAAGAGACATCTTCAGCTGTTAGGAGGTGAGGGCGCTGATTTCCTGAGACGGGTTGCATTTTTGGAGCATCAGATCTTCAGGTTTGCTGAGATGATTTTGCGTGACAGGTGCAGCACTTCGTATGACCTGGCATCACTTTTTCGTGGTAGGCGCAGTACTTTCGACAGGTGGACTGGAAAAAATCGCAAAACGCATTGGTACGAGGCTGTCAGCTTTGCACTCAACTTTCCATTTTTGAAGGAAGTCTCTCAGAATTGCTTTGTTATTGATGCTGTCAAGTTCAAAAATTGAAGAAGTCTAGCAGAATTACAACTACAACTACAACTGCGTTACACCACACTACATCCAGGAGTTGCGAGTGAGGTGACCACTGCAACGATTGCAACCGCTCCAAAAAACACAACTCCAACCACCTTTCGGTCCATCAGTGGCTTCGCTCTGCCATCCTTGATTCACAACAACCAACCTCTCCTATAGGTTTCCTATTTCTGAAACTTCCGCCACCGCCTTGTGCGGTACTACTGGTATACATATAAAGAGACGTGATCCGGAGAGAGGTCTGCAGAGTTGGTTTCGACCAGCGAAACCCGAAACCCGAAACCCGAAACCCGAAACCGACTGTTAAAGTTGGTTTCGAACTGCGAAACCCGAAACCCGAAACCCGAAACCGACTCTGAAGACTTAACTTCCCCAGGACCGACCGAAACCCGAAACCCGAAACCCGAAACCCGAAACCCGAAACCCGAAACCCGAAACCGAACTTATATACCCTCCCCAGGACCGATCGAAACCCGAAACCCGAAACCCAAAACCCGAAACCCAAAACCCGAAACCGACTCTGAAGACTTAACTTCCCCAGGACCGACCGAAACCCGAAACCCGAAACCCGAAACCCGAAAAAAAACCCGGAAAACCCAAACCCGAAAACCCGAGAAAACCCGGAAAACCGAATGGTAAAGTTTGGGGGGGGAGGGTTGGTCGAACTGCCGAAACCCAAAACCCGAAACCCGAAAAAGACTAGGAAAGAAAGTGGTGGTCTCGGGTCGGCCTCATGTTGAGGGAGGACGAATGCGTCTTTGATTTTTCGTTTTTTTGTTAACTTCCCCAGGGACCGACCCGAAACCCGAAACCCGAAACCCGAAACCCGAAACCCGAAACCGAACTTATATACCCTCCCCAGGACCGATCGAAACCCGAAACCCGAAACCCAAAACCCGAAACCCAAAACCCGAAACCGACTCTGAAGACTTAACTTCCCCAGGACCGACCGAAACCCGAAACCCGAAACCCGAAACCCGAAACCCGAAACCCGAAACCGACTGTTAAAGTTGGTTTCGAACTGCGAAACCTGAAACCCGAAACCGACTCTGAAGACTTAACTTCCCCAGGACCGATCGCTAACCTAATCTAATCTAATCTAATCTACCTAATCTAATCCAATTCTAATCTAATCTAATCTAATCTACCTAATCTAATCTATTTCTAATCTTATCTATCTAATCTAATCTAATTTAATCTACCTAATCTAATCTAATTCTAATCTAGTTTAACCTATCTAATCTTATCTACTCTACCTAATCGAATCTAATTTTAATCTAATCTAATCTACCTAACCTAATCTAATCTACCTAATCTAACCTAATCTATCTATCTAAGTAATCTAATTCTAATCTAATCTTATCTACCTAATCAAATCAGATTCTAATCTAACCAAAACTAATCTAATCTAATCAATCTAATCTAATCTATCTAATCTAATCTAATCTACCTATTCTATAAAAATTCTTATTCCAATCCAATCTAATCTACCTAGTCTAATCTAATCTAATCTAACCTAATCTACTTCTTCTAATCTTATATTTCTAATCGAACCTAATCTAATCTAATGATATCATATCATATCATGTCATCTCATATCATATCATATCTATCCAACTAATCTAATCTAACCTAATCTAATCTATCTAGATAACCTAATCTAATTTAATCTACCTAAACTAATCTAATCTAATCAAATATAATTCTAATCTCATCTCATCTATATAGTCTAACCTAATCTAATCTACCTAACCTACTCTAATTCTAATCTAGTTTAATCTATCTAATCTAATCTAATCTAATCTACCTAATCTAATCTAATCTAATCTACCTAAACTAATCTGATCTACTCTACCTAATCTAATCTAATCTAATCCAATTCTAATCTAATCTATTCTACCTAATCTAATCTGATCTACTCTACCTAATCTAATCTAATCTAATCTAATCCACTCAGTGACAGCTAGTTTCCCCCAAACCGTTGCCGTTTTTCCTCTCTGACCTTTTCAGGCGCTTGTCACTCACCGCTCTTGTTTTTGACGACTGCATGGAGAACGACACTTGGGTGATGTGAGATCGGCATCGTACTGGTGAATCTAAAGGTGGTTTCGACCTACGAAACCCGAAACCCGAAACGGACGGCTAAAGTTAGCTTCAATCGACGAAACCCGAAACCCGAAACCCGAATCCCGAAACGGACAGCGAAAGTTGGTTTCAGGCTACGAAACCCGAAACCCGAAACCCGAAACCGAAACCCGAAACCCGAAACCGACAGCAAAAGTGGGTTTCAATCGACGAAACCCGAAACCCGAAACCCGAATCCCGAAACCGACAGCGAAAGTTGGTTTCAAGCGACGAAACCCGAAACCCGAAACCCGAAATCGACAGCGAAAGTGGGTTTCAATCGACGAAACCCGAAACCCGAAACCCGAAATCCGAAACCGACAGCGAAAGTGGGTTTCAATCGACGAAACCCGAAACCCGAAACCCGAAACCGACAGCAAAAGTGGGTTTCAATCGACGAAACCCGAAACCCAAAACGCCAAAACCCGAAACCGACAGCGAAAGTGGGTTTCAATCGACGAAACCCGAAACCCGAAACCCGAAACCGACAGCGAAAGTGGGTTTCAATCGACGAAACCCGAAACCCGAAACCCGAAACCGACTCGAATCCGACTTTTGGGTGGCTCTCCGGATCGGAACTCCAAAATCTTTGAGCCACAGCTGCAAGCAATGGGCCATCCCTTGCTTTTATGGGAACATGAGGCTCCAAGTGCTTTGCGAGTTGAACTCTGCAAAGTGCGCACAGCGACATCTCTGCTGTGCAAGTGTCAAGCAGCCGTTGAAGCACTGCCGGACATATCGACAAACAGTAATTGCACTGTCCACTTCTCGATGTGTCAGCTGCCACCAACAAATGACAGTTCGCACCTCTGCGGGATCGATGCATCCACGAGCCTGGCATGCAGGAACGAACAGGAACCGATACAATGATGCAGCTGTGGGGCATATATGTAAATCGATTTGAACAAACAAAGATACTTATATTTTTCAATTCCTTTTTTTCAGTAATTTGTATTCACTGGACATATAAGCAGGGGAAGGTGATCTGAAGCAAACCCTATATCACGCAAGTGCTTGCACCGTGGGCAACCTGCTGACATGGTTCACAACCCTGACAGTGACACGTGACTTCTGCATGCTACCTGACTTTTTTCTGGCAGCTGATGTTTGAAATTGGCATCAAAATGTCTTCAGAGGTACATTCTCAAAATCTTCATGGTGCGACTGTCGCGTGCAGACCATCGGATTCGTCATGGTGGTAAAGCGTACGCAGAATAGACCTCAGCAATATGAATTGTATTTGGAATATATAATGGTATCTAAAAATTGAGTATGATTCAGTTTTCATATCAATATATAATGGATGTTCAAAGATGGTATGTTGACCCAAAAAAACGCCAATGGCATTCAACCAAATATATATATATATAAGAACTGAAATACAATTGTCCAGCTTCGGGAGATGTTCAAAGATAATGATACTCCAAAGACAAGATGCCTGGTCTCCACCCATCGTCCATGGGAAGTGATTTTGAATCTGTTGTTGCCCATGGCTTCCCAAATACTGACTACACTCCAGAGGATGCCTCCGCTAAGATCTGCGTGTAAATGCACGCGCCCAACACATTCGGAACCGTCCAAACGTAGCAGTGCCACATCACCTGCATGACAAGTCAAGCCGTGAATGTCTGCCACAGTGGCAACAAAAGCACCATCCATGCACCTTAAAAAATCCAACTCAAGGATTGCGCACTTCATCTTCCTGGATGGCTTTGGCTTCTGCAACCTGATGTCGCTGGGTTTGAAGTCCAGGATGCAGTTCATGGCACTGTGCGTCACTTCTCGCAAGACCGACATCTCGTACCAAGTTCCGGCGTTGCTAACTTGGTTCGCGAAAAGTTTGAGCGATTTGTGTTTGCGTTCATGCGTCCAGCATGATATGAGAAGGCCATGCTGTCTTAGTAGGGGCGGTAAGTGTAGAGCATAATGGAACTTGGGCACAAGTTCGTCTTCACCGTGAGCGTTCTTAAACGCTGTCAGATGACGCTGGATCAGACCTTCCAACGTCACAGCATCTACCTGCACATCCTTTCCGATCATGGAAAGCAGATCCAATATTCGACAGAGGAGTAGAAAGGATGAGGCCATCAGAATATGTCCTTACTGGACAAACGCAGTATCCATGACAAACAGCCTGAGCAATGGGTATGTGCACAAAACTTCACTGGCGAAGGGTTTCCAACCGTCTTTTGTCTTGGATTTCTCAAAGGTTTTGATGGCACCGGTGAGATTCGACTTCTGATCTTGTGGAGCTTGGAAAGATTTCATAAACTGACAAAGAGCTGCATGACTTCGGCCATTTGCCGCGAGAACAGGGAGCAGCAAATTGATTTCACATTGAAATATTCCATTGACAAGATATACATGCAGCCAGTCAAACATAGTGTGCTCAATGGGCTTGAGAGGACAGTCCGGATGGAAAAGCATACCGTCGGGATTGAAATTTATCCCTAGGGATTGTTCCAGGGTCTCAAAAGCTTTCTTTGTACGGAGTGGCTTCTCAGATGACAACATCAAGGCCGCTGCGGCCAATTCAGCATCGGTTCGTAGCTGCAGCTCCCCTATGTCAAAACACGTGTGGGGGACTAAAGTGCCGCTGGGATCCGACAGATGGAGGTCGCTTCGGGCCTGCACTACGTTCCAACAGAACAGGCAGGGCAGGGTACCAGCTGCTCCCTTGACAGCCCACATCGCCTTTAAGGCGGCTTCGTCTCCGATGAGACACCGAAGGCGTCCAAACAAGAAGACTTTGCGTCCACTGTGAAGTGTGAGAAGGAGTCCTGATTCCAGAGGAGTAAAGAGCTGGGTGATGACCTTCGTCAAACAACTGACACCTCCCTGCAGCCTTCCCACGTTGTTGCTGCGAACTATAGATACTGTGTGCCACAAATCTTCCCTGGTTAAGCCACGCTGACCGTGCTGGATCAGTGACCAATAGTATGCGTAGAACTTACCTGATAGGACTTGGTATAAGTTCAGGTCACATCATGTCACATCAAACATCTAAGAAACATACAAACAGTACCAAAAAAAATACTGGTGTTTCAGCGCAGGAGTTACGCCGGTTGTCCGGTTTCAGCGAGTTCCCCGGACTCACTTCATCCGAATAAAGTACCAACGACCATGGTTGGGACTGAGAAGTCGGAATGCGAGCCATCTCTGCTTCCATGAAGCCACTAAATGATTCAGAATTTCTGCAGAGGTGCCACAAGAGCGCACAAGGGTCAACAAAGGTGCATTCAACATCACCTGCAGAGTCTGGTATACAGATCATATATGAAGAAACTTGAAACATGTCATCGATCATACCCGTGATAACCAAATGGAACAAACAATCATCAAATCGATGCAAACATAATCATTTGGCATGTGGCCTGCACCATCGTTCGCAGCCAGACTTCTGGTTGTAAATAAGGGCCCAACTGGCGTATGGATCTTCATCTTCTCATCCCGGGCACGTTTGACGCTGGATCTGGATGTAGCAGCAGGCAGTTCATCTAATGATTTCAGTTCCTTCAGCAATTCGCTGAGAGCACTCTGTGAAACAAATTTCTTGCGGCCCAAATCTGCCAGGGTCATTGCTCAGAGATGCAAGAACGGCATCGAAAAGTGTGGTGTCAAAAGAGCGAACATGTTGACAACATTTATTGAACCTTTCCAAAAGAAACACTTTACTAAACAGTCACATTGGTATATCTTGTGGTGTTCTGCTGTATGGGAAGGATGCCTCTCACTGTGTTGAGCGTTGGACTTGATCCGCTATAGAGCGAGCACGCAGCTCTGCTCAGTGATGCAGCGAGGACATGACTCTGCTGCATCAGGTGGTTTGCAATTAGACACGTTGCCACAAAGCTGTTGTGCTGGAAAACTTGGATGGTGAATGGCCTGATGCCAATACATATTTCTGATACCAACAATTCAACCAATGTTTGAAATGTCGTAGAGAAACTCCAGAATGCTGCAGAAAAAATCAAACTCCAGAATTCACCGGCGACTTGGGGTTCCCAACCAAAAAAAGGCTTCACAGATCATTCACCTGCATTGCTGACCTGCAGAGCGTTTTGCATCGCGTTTTGCATACAAAATGGGGCTTAGTCAAAACTATAAGTTAATGTCAACAAGTATGCAAATGACGGGCACCGTGCGTCTCGCTTCGTCTCTGCAGAGTGGCAACTCGCAGTGGCACCGCAGAGAAAGAATCCTCGCAGGAAGTCCAAGCTAAATAACCGCAAGAATTCTTGCAGCTTTGACATCAAGCATTTTTTGGATTATTTTGGGATGATTGTCAAGGAAGATATTGTTTGAACATTTGTTTGCTGTCAACTGTAAGTGAAGCTTGTTGGCTGGAGTCTTTTTCTCACGTCAAGCACGGCGGTGATGCAAAAACTGATCTATAGATGGGCATCCCAGAATGCGTTGAAACAACAACTCTGCTCATATGATGCGAAACCATGGTTCCTTTTGCGAGGGTGGCCAAATGCCTGTTTTTATGCATGGAAATCCCACAATTTGATTTGACAAAATGCTGCTGCCAATCCATCTTTGGCAGGCAGCTCGAAGCCATCACATGTCCATGTCAATGGAGTTGTACATGCGCACGCAAGGTGGCACCATCTTGCTCCACAGCCTCATCTTTGGCGTGACCTCTGTGCAGCGAGGCTCCCAAAGGGGAGTCATCGGCGGCAAGAGGTTCATGGCCCTGCCAATGAATCGCCACTCAACGTTTGGTCCATGGGAATCCTTGATGTGATGTCGCGCAAGGTCTTGAATCTGCCTTGGATAGATCCGATCCGAAGACGGCAACAGCCACCCGTCGGCTTTCAAACACTCGCCCGACGCTGCCATCCAGGCTTTGAAGCGGATCAAGGGCTGATCCCAGTCAGGGCGATTTTCCAAGTGGCCAGTCAGCTTAATGACCACGGTTTTCAGCGGCATCTTCTTGCAGTAGATGCAATCTGCCATCGCTGCCGGTCCCCGGAAAAGGACCGACTGCCCATCGTCGCTGCGGCACACCAGCAAGTAGCGCAGGGCTGGATACCCGTTGCCAGGGATGAAGATATCCTCATGGGCCTCCAGTCTCTCCACCTGCCTTGGCGGCACATGTTGGAAGTCCTTGTCAGGGATCGTGCACGTCATCACTCCCTCGCTCAGCTGCAAGTGGCTCTGGAGGCGGTGGGTTCCAATGATCACCATGCCCCAAACATACTCGGCAGCTCCAGCCATGCTTGGATCAGCAAGGTGATAGTTGAACACTATATGCGAGGTGTCTGGGCCAAAAGTCTTTCTTGCCAATGCAATTGCGAGGTAGTACCCCTGCAACTGAACCCTGCGATTTATTTGAACAAAAATCTGCAGGGCTTGTTTGGCAGTCTTATACACTTCTTGTTTCAAACACACTCCGATGTCAAAACAAGGATGATGCATTCGACAATTGGTCAAGTAATGCAACTTCAAGGAAGTGAATTGCATCAAAAGGGTCGCTCAAACGCTTTGGCATGCAGAAGAAGTGGTCAACAATAAATTCAATCAAGCATTTCTTGTGCAAGTCAAAGATCCCAGTGCGTAAAGACACTTTCTGTTCATCAAGTTTCACATGTGTTGCCATGTAGTTTGCCAGTTTCAAAAACGACTTAAGATTGAAGGGTGCACATCATCATCATCATCATCATCATCATCGTTCCACCTGCACACAGGTCCATATAGCACAACATATATGGTGTGTGTGTGTGATGGCACCAAAAAAAAATCACGTGTACGTATCGCCACACTGTCCATGAAAGCAGATGAATCACGAATCCCTTTTTTGTTCACAAAGCGGCCTGTCGACCCAATCAAAACTGGGCCCGGCAAGGTAAAAGTTTCAAGTCAGCTCCAAATCCACAGGGACACAAGGAACCGACGATTCATCCCTTCGGGAGCTTAAAACAACAGTTGCCACTCACTGGCCTCCTGGGTGTCGACCGTGATGTGGGCGCACCCGATGAAGTCCAACACTTCTTCTTTGACCTTCTGGACCACGTAGAGCCACTGGTCACGGGTGAATCCTCGCACCGTGGGAGACCATGCGATGGTACCCTTCCAGCGGTCAATCTCAGCGACGTGAAGGAGTCGCCTGTTGCCATCGACGTAGTGCTCAGCTTTGACCACGCTGAAGTCGTGGTCTCGCAAGGTGGCACCAGGGGTGCATGCGAACTCCTTCAGATGCAACCTCCCATTCTGCATGGCCCATGACCCTTGTGCTCCAATGGCCAAGCGCTGTGTCTTCGTTCTTCTTACGAAGAACACTTGGCCACTCTGATCTAGCAGAAGCCACTCGCTGTCGCGAGCAGTTCCAACGTGCTTCCACTTGTAAAGGCGCAAGTGGGTGCTTTGGAACATCGACATGATGGCAAGTGGGTGCTGAAGAAAAGCAACTGGCTGGATGGATGCCAAAACAAAAGCTGATGAGCCACACAGTCGCGAGATCAGTGTCTCTGCGGCTAAGTCTGCGATACATCTGCAGACTTCACAACCAGCACAGTCCGAGAACATCAGAACACGTTTCAAGTATTTCATGTTCTGCATTGCTCATGCAGACTGGCTCTTTGCAAACCCTCAAGTTGCCAGTGCTCTACAACATCCAAATTTCTGAGCACATCAAACTAAGATTCACTTATCTGATGTCTGGCAAGACTGACAACATTCGAATTTGATGCCATTTGAATGTCGTCACCTTCATGAAACTCATATTCTATAGGTTTCCCACCTGGGAGATTGCAATCCTCTGCCAGTAGTCCTGCGAGCTGGCGAGCACTGCAGGATGTTTGAATGACTGAATCATGACAATCCATGGAACTTTCATCGACAGTTTCAGTTTTGTTATGTCGACGAATCTATATAGAGACCCACCTCTAAACCTTGCAGAGTTTCTGTAGTGACTCGCAGGGTTCTGTTGCAGAGAGCCTATTCTCGCGACTGGGTCTATGTATACTGATGCCCTGCTATGTTGATAAAGACTAGCTTTTGCAAATCCTGAAGTTGCCAATGTATACAACCAAAACAATCGAATCTTGGTAATCTGTTTGTTCGGTATACAAAGCAGTGCGACCAAGAATGCACACTGTGCACAAGCATCCAAAGACCTTGCAAAGTTTAGAGATCTATTGTGATACTCAGATTGCAGGCCTCTGCATCACAATGGCTTCTGAAGCCACGCCAGCCCTTGGACACCTGAACCAACATATCTAGTTGTATAGTTGCGAGATCTAAAGTTCTGCAACCCAACCATGCGAGCTTGCAACAACTCTGCAGTGATTCACAAAGGTGGGGAGTCCCACAGCGCTGCCCGCCTCGCAATCCAAGTTGGCAGCATTCCAGCCTGGTGAGGACATGTGCTGGAACAAAACACATTTCTTGGTGCTTATGTCTGTCGATTCATTATTGAACCTTGTGTCCATTGATCGGTGCACATGTTGGATGATCACACTGTGTTCCAACCCCCTTGCAAACCTGTAGAGCCTACAGCCTCGTGTCGAAACGACTTCTCTTAACACAACATTGATTGGTGATTCTAGTTGTTTGACTGAGGAATGAGGTGGGGCATCCATTCACTTGACGCCATCTCGTGGTGGGGCATCCAATCCTTCAGTTTGTCTTGGGCCAGGACGAGCCACACAGTCGCGAGATCAGAGACTCTGCGACAAAGCCTGCGACGAATCTGCAGACTCCACAGTCAGTGCATGATGTCTGAGCACATCAGGGCAAGATTCAGTGCATGGTGTTTCAAACCATGCTGCCTGGCATGTCCTGCAATGCTCACAAAGAAATGATGGTTTGCTTTTGAGAATCCTGAAGTTGCCACTGCTCTACAACATCTCACATTTTTCTATATGGTGCAATTGAAGCACCCACAAAGGGAGGCACCTGCATAGGCCTCCAATCTGCAGGCAAGGGCAGCCCACCTGAGAATGTAAAGCAGGGGCAATTCCACTGGGTATGTTGCGAATGAGGTGGTAGCGCGTTTGACCATGAATCCAATCTACCTTCTGAAAACCCTGCAGAGTTTCTCGCAGGGTTCAGTTGCAGAGGGTCTACATTCTCGCGACTGGGTCAACTTGCGTCATCAAACCGATGGGCATGTGCCAAAAGAATGGGTGCCCCAATCATTCCAAATTCAAATGTTGGCCCCATCCACTTGAAGAGATTCCCAGTCCATGCAAGCCAACACAAGATGAAAACCCACATCGTGATCTGGTTGAAGCCCCACTGTGGCCTCCAATCGTCACCCAATGCTAGGCCTCAGAGTGCCAGGGAGCAGTTGGATTTCAGATGACCAAAAGAAATATTCAGTCAAATATTTGATGGCCTGTTGACAAAAAAGAGATACACCGCCCAAGGCCCAAATTGGCCAAAATGTTGATCAACATTTTTTTTGATTTTTTTGTTGATCAATAAAAATGTCAATCGAAATTTTGTTGATCAACAAAATTCTCAATATGGGAAACCACCATTTTGTTGATCAACAAAATTTGCATTTTCACTATCAACTCTTGCAAGGGGGGTCCGCCCCCCCCGCGGTAGCGCTGCCCAATTTTTTGGAAGACCATTTTGAACCCTAAACCCTAAAGTCCCTGTGGCAATGCGAGTTGTGGCTGATCATCAAATCATTTTGATCATGTCAAAGCCAATGCTGATGTGGAAGCACCTAACAATTGGATGCCCAAGCCATACCTGACACCACCCGAAGCCAGCTCCAGTTGGGAGCCCTGACGTTCTGTGGCCCGTGAGTGAGATGTCCCAAGAAAAGTCGTTCACGGCCTCAGCCCAGAGCAATAGCAGCTGTTGTCAGAATCAAAAATTCAAATCAGCAAGCCCACGAAACGAAAAAAAAATACATTGAATCCACATCCGTTGGTCAGACATCGATTTCGAACATAACTCCATGTCATCCTTTGATGTTGCAACCCAACCCATTAAGTAAAACACTGGACTGCGCTCATCTCCCTTTTTTTTGCTCACCCAAAGGGGAGGATGCGGAGGACCGCCAAGTGCAGAGGAGCAGCCAATGGATGAATCTTCAACTGCATTACTGGATGATCCAAAACATTCATGTATGTTTTTTTGCTAGTTACATGTGAGCGCATGTACCAAGACCAACACTTTCATCCATTGGCCACACTTGCACAGCTGTGCGAAGATTTGAAGCTGGCTGGACAGCCGCACAAGGATAGCTTTACCCAAGCAATGATTGAATGCCCCAATGTAGAAGCAATGATTGAATGCCCCAATGTAGGAACTGTTGGATTGAAACAGCAGGTTGAAACAATTTAGAAGCATGGTATGTTGCTAGACAAGCTATCCCGGCAGCACGTCAATTTCCCTTTTTTTTATCTTCCACAATGGCCATAGAAGACCCTTCATGGGTGCACCATGGAGCATGATTGAACATGTTTGTTTCTAATGTCAATGAAACTGGTGGTTCTTAAATACTATAATTACACTGGCAACCCATGCAGAGAGCCAAGCCTTTCACAGGCCCTTCCGGTCACTCCATCGGCCACAAGTGGATCATTCCGCCTGTGATCCAGCTACATGTCTTCCAAAACCTGGAACATCTGTTGCGTTCCTAAATACTGCAGCCACAGTGCAGATTGAATGGCTCAGATCTTGAATTTTTTGTGACGATCCTACAAGAGTCACCTACAGCTGTGATGTCGGTTTATCCACATCTCATTCCATCTGCACAGATGCCTGCCTACAATTTGTCCAAGGCCTTCTCAGTGATGCTGCACAGCTTCATAGTCAGGCTTCGGCTGTGTTCATCAGCTGCTTTCCGCTCCTCTGCCACGCGCTGCTGGTGCTTCTGGTGCTGCACCACGGCACCGCCACGCACCCGGCTCTTGCCTTTGGCCTTCAGGCCTTCGCCGGGCCTCAGCGAGAAGACAATGAACTTGTCATGAAAATTCATGCGATGTGTCATGAACCATCTGACTCATGGCACCTGAAATGAATCGATTGTTTTTATGGACAGAAAACCAAAAGGGGTGCAGTGGCCCAACTGGTTTGTGAATAATTTGCATTCAAAAAAGCAATGCCACTTGAAGTTCACTGCGTCTGTGGAATCAACACTGAAACAAGCCGAGATGCGCATGGTACTGCATGTTGGCATCGATGTACCCCTGGCCATTCGGCAGGTAGTAGCCACCCTTCTTGTCGGCGCGCAGCACCTCCGCTGGAGATCCACCTCCAGAGTGGGATGAGGCTGAGCCTGAGCCTTTCCACTCGTGCCATGGTTTGGACCATTTGTGGCCCTTTCCCCATCCTTTGCCCTTGGGTGACCACCATCCTCGCCATCCCTTGTTGTTGCCCTTGCGGCCATAGTTGCCCTTGTTGCGGTTGCGGTGCCAGCCATGGTTCTGCTGCACATCCTCTTTCTGCACATCTTCTGCCTTTCTCTTCTTGCTTTCGCCCTTCACGAAATTGGCCAGCTTGTCCCTGGCACCATCCATCTCCGCATATTCCTTGGCATGCAGCTTCTTTTGCTTGTCGTCATCGTCCTCCTGGTCTGCATCTGCCATCACAGCGTCTCCATCTGCTGCGTCATCATGTTCATCCAGCTCGATCGTCCCATCATCTGCACCGTCTGCCTCCTCCTCCTGTTCCTGGTAGTCTTCTTCCGTGGCATCGACATCCTCATGATCAGCTGGGACATCCTCACCATCCGGCTCTTTCTGCACGAAGGTGTTTGCACACTTCTCCATCCATGCAGCCTCATCTTCACTTTCTTCATGCTCGTCCTCCTCCTTCGGCTCGGCCTCCTTGTCCTCCACCTTCGGCTCGTCCCACTCTTCGGGAAGATCTTGGTCACCTTTCGGCTTGGCCATGTTGGGCTTGCGCAGCAGCTTCAGGAACTCTCCAGCGGGGCCCATGGGGCGCGGGACGATGCACTGGTCACTGGCAATTCCGTCCTATAGATGCAAAGAATGTGAGCATGTCTGAAATTATTCATGCATAATACGATGTTGGTTTTCTAGATATCCATCTATACATGGATGTTTTGTGGGGCCAGCAACGCAGTTGCATCGCAGCAGGAGTGATTCCGGTGGGGTGCTTTAGAACTGTCTATATTGCTGTCTAGGCAATCAAGACTAAAGTAGAGTTTAAAGCATCATACCCCAAAACAAGCGAGAATGCACACGGTGTTAATGGCCATAGGCCGTGTCATCCGCCATCAAGTCATACCCATAGGGTAGCCTTCAAATATTGAGCATGAAGAATGGCGAGAACGATGCGCAAGTTTGTGAACATCCAATGATCAGTGGAGCACTCCTGCATGAGGATGAAAACAAGTGTCCCTGGAAAATGACGAAATCAAAATCTCTTGCATGGTTCCATTTTCTTCAATTCCATGATGCATGTTAGGATTTTCAATTGATAATGCCAGAATGTGCCAGACACCTTTAGAATCTGATCTCTATACCCATGCATGCCCACGTAATCTCCAATTGGGAGCCGGGACTGTCTTTGGATGTGGAACGAGATGATCCAAAATGTTTCTGGCCTCATGCGCCGGTGCAATGCAACGGTGGGGGCATGCAACCGTGACAACCTGTGGATCACTAAACTCGTGTACTGGTCATAAGCTAGTTCTATAGATTCAGACTGGACTGCAGGGATATGTCATACATTCTTGTATCTCGCAGTCTATAGCCAGCAGAGCAACAGCATCGCTGGCTGCGTATCAAAATATTAAACACGCTAGATTCTGGTTGGATCTTATGTTTTGATTCTTGGTGTCCTAGAACCACGGATAGCAAGACAGCTAGCGCCCCAAGGTGCACCATCGAAACTTTACCGTATACGCGATGTTTCTTCATGATGTTGTGCAATACAAGTTACATGGCCATGTCCAAATGATATTGAAACTCTTCAAACAGCCTCAGACTGCATGGTGATGTTGTGTTGAGCAGCGGACTGTCTATAGCAGTGCGAGACCAGGTCTCTGCACTGCAAAACATGCGAGCCTCAGAGCTCTGCATGCCTGAAACCCTGGCAAGTCAGCAATGGCAGGTGGCCACATTCCACCTTTGATTTGTTTCAAGAGCTAACATCCAGTTGGCGATACAAACTCTGAACCTTGAAAAACAAAATGTCATTGTTCATTCTTTTCAGCCTTGAAGTACGCCTGCAATCAACTGCAGACCACAACTCTTGGACGCGTTTCCGAGTCTGTGGATCCACGCTGGTTCCAAGGAGGTTGCAGCCTCAGGCATGGAAGCGGTGCCAAGCTGAAAACAAAGTCATGCTGAACCAATTTTCATTGATTGACATTGGGATGCCAAAATGGATTCCAATGACTCTGCCCAACAAAACTCTAAAGAGCTATATAGCCTGCATGCTAGTCAAACAACATTGCAAAAATGTTCAAAGCAGTATACTTTCACAAAGTGGAGTTGAAGACTTTCCAATACTGTTGTTTAGAAGCATATTCAAGGTCAACTGCAAAACGCACGCCCGCACAGTTCCTCCATTTGGGCGGCCCTGACATTTGATAGATGATGACCATGATCATCGAAGGTGGTTCTTGCCTTTCATCTGGCAACGGTGAACAGCTATACAAAAGACGGGTGCTAAATTAATCCTGGGGGCTCACACAGTCTGTGGATCCACACATGTAGGTTCCAATGAGGTTGCATGAGGCATGGAAGCGGCGACAAACTGAAGAAAAGGTTGGGCTGAGGAGTGGGTCCGTTGTCTTAGCTCATTACCAACTTATTTAAATCACGTGTTTGGAGTCTTTTCCGTGCCTTCGGGAATTCAGCATGCCAAGGTATATGTCCAAAACAAGATATGAACTGTGAAATTGGCAAAGCTCCTGATGTTTAGGGACGGACGAGGTACCTGTGCGAGACAATATCTCTGCACTTCAGGATCTGCGAGCCTATGGGCTCTGCATTCCTTAACCCTGCCAGGTAAGCAACGCACCTACTGTAACTAACTCAGAATGTGTGTTTGTGTTTCAAGAGCTGACAATTAGTTTGTGACAGAAACCATGACATGAATAATCTTCAACAACATTGACAGGTGGCGAAACTGATGCCAGAGCAGCAAAGTAAACAAAAGCTATACACACAGTCTATAGTCACCCATTTAGTTGAACATCGACCAAGTTTGAAAAACCAATGCCTTTCAGAAACAATATGTTTTTTTGTCGTTTTTAGCTGCCGCGCAGCCATGAAGTACTGCAATGAACATGCAACCATCAACATATGGGAGCCCAGGCAATCTGTGGATCCACGCAGGAAGTTCCAAGGAATCTTATACCTCAAGCACAGAAGCTACCACAAACTAAAAACGGAATCATGTTGAAACATTATTCATTCATTGACATTAGACTGCAGAGTGAATGTTTCGTGTGTTCCTGGACTCGCAGTTGTGCCAGCAGATCAACAGCATCGCTGGGAATGTCTCACCAAAAAAGGAACCAGTATTTAGATGGCATGCCAAGGTGCAACATTGGAAAACAGTTCAAATCAGTATGCAAAATAACTTTCATCATTCATGAATTTGTGATGCATGTCACACTGGAGATGTTGCTATTTCAAAGTCAGCTATAACAGGCATGCCCCAAAGCTGCTCCATCTAGGAGCCCTGACATTTGATAGATGTTGACCATGATGATCGAAGGCGGTTCTGCCTTGCATCCGGCACCGGTGCGGTGAGCTACAGAAGATGGGTTTGCCTGCATTGGGTCTTTGGCTATCAACTAAAGCAAGTTCACGGTGTTCCCAAAAGCAGGGCACTATATGATACATACTATGTACAGGATTCCGTTGTCAATACCAGTTGGGAACCAGGATCATCATAAGGGTGCAACTACCAAACGTACAGTATCTGAGGGTCCAAGCCATGACATACTTGTCCAAGTCGGCCATTCAAGATTGGCCTGGCTGCGCGAAGTTTCTATAGCAAGTTTCCCGCACGGCATTCTGATAACAGATTTGTGCTGTTGATGGCATCGCCAAATCCATAAATTTTCATTACGACCTGCAACCCCTGTTAAAATAAAACCTGTACAATATAACGTTGCTCCAGGGTTTGAAGTCAATACGATCTAACATTAATTGTTTGTGGAAACTGCACTGAACACATTGCAATAGAAGGGTGAACCCATATACAGACTGCCCTGAGTCACGTCCGATTGGGAGCCTTGACGTTCCATTGGAAGAAGGTTTGGCCTCATGTGCAACAGACTGCTGTGAACCAAACAGGAATACTGTATCCATCATATTCTCGGATTGATCAGTTTCCCAAATTTCAGAACATGTAAGTGGAAACACCGTGCCATGAAAGTGGATGCACCATCAAATCTAACAAGTTAACTAACAGTGGTCGTTTGACATCACGTGGGTGAAGCCGCCAAATCAGCAGCGACTGAGCGTCCAAAGCCATCCACTGAAGAATTGCCTGGCCGCAGGTGAAACCACATTTACGTGTATATATATATATATATATATACGTATGCTGCAGCTAGCGAGGACCCTCTGCTAGCACAAAGTTGCGAGACAA